GATGTATTAGGTCCTAAGAACTAATGGTGTATAACTATAATCATAGAATCTCTACTCGATTAATGGAAACCACTTAGAGATTATAGGACGAGGGAGTTCAGTGAACTCAACGACTATGAGCACCCACTCAAGTATGCTAATGTCTATACATTGAAATTGATGAGACTCAACTCACGTTCACAAAGTGCTAGTCTCAAATAACGGAAAAATGTCATTATCCAAATTATTGGTGTAACCCATTGATTAAGAACTTGTGTAATAGTTATTTTACTAAATGAATTATCTTATGATTTTCCTCGATCAATTCATAGTAATTTGATAATAACTATAAGGTCAATATATATGCATAATAAAACGGGACAGTAGATATAGTTTGCCAAACATAGAATTTCATCAATCATGAAATAGATTGTTTATAAGTAAATATAGAAAGACCACATCCCAAGTTGCCTTCTTGATCACTACTCTAACCTCTAACCTTCTTCCGGAAAGAGAGGTGATAGAGTGAGGATGGATGAAGATAATATCTTAGATCATGTTATTATAATTGTTTAATTGTTGAATATTTTAATTTACAATTTTAGTTGATAGCAAACAAACCATTATTGCATTACTTGGACACAATCAAATCGCAAGTGATTAGATATTTAGAATGAGAAATCAATACTCTACTTTACTACTTGTAGGGTAATTCGTAAAGTGTGTCCAGTATTTTACATTACATTCAATGTATCTATTTTATCCAATAAAAACCGCGGAAAAGAAAACCCAAAAAATAACAACGGAGAAAACCGGCCAACCGGAAAATTTCTGAGGGTGCGGGCGCTAATTGTCTTGTTCTGGTGCACGTGATTTGACCGCTTCAATTTCAAAACTTGCTGGAATCAAAACTTATTTTTAACTCCAACCGATCGACACCGTATTTTTAATTGTTTGTTTGTGTGTGACGACAAGAGTGGATTACTTTGAATTTTACAAATACTTAATTTGGATTAATTATTTTATTATTAGCCGTATATATAATTTGGACAAATTAAATTATTCGAAAGTCTGCTTCATCAAAATAGTGACACATATGTAATATATTACAAATTCAAGTTCATTGAGCAATAGTAGCCCAAGATCACAGGAAAAATGATTAGTCTGGATGAGCTCAAGAAGATTAAAAAGTGTTTTAACTATCAAATTATGGACCAAGTAGTTCTATTTTTTTATCCAAAATTATTTCACAACTTCATTCTTTTATTCATAAAATTCAGTTTCTAATATTTGAAAAATATCTACTAGGAGCAGGTTCAAGCAAAATGTCAAGATTAAATTAGAGTTAATACGTTCTAATCATAAATCAGTAAGCATAGTAACTAAATTCAAAGCTTTATACGACAAGATTTAAAATAAAATAGATAACTATTGGCAAAACGAGTTATAGATATAAGTTTTAACATGTAAGACATATTTTATTCATGTATTATATATTATTAATTTATTATACTACATAATATAAACATAAAATTCAATTCTCAATGAAAAAGAAATATTTATTGGGCGATACTTGCTATAAATCCATAACGCTACAAGAAATAATATTTTGATTAACAACATTAATTTTGAAATTATTAGGCAAAAAATATTGTCACTATGGGTATCACTAATACGCGTTTTACATGGCGTAGGTGAACTCGTTAAAAATTACTAATTTTTAATTATCTTGTTTAATTGCACGTGATTTGCTTTAAATGATGATGTCAACTATTAATCAATGGTTTTATAGAGATCCAGGTCATCAATCCAATAATAGATCTCTTCAAAGCCGCTCCCACCTCAAGCTACTTTTCTCTTTCATTCACGTCTTCTGACCCCTCTCTCTTTCGTTATCTTTCTGTTTCTCTTTCACTTTTTTTCCAGATCTGAAAACATACAGTTTATTCCTCTCTCAAGTCGATGATGTTGAAGATGGGCAAACAACATGACAATTGAAGAGATTCATCTATGTAGTCATATATAGTCAAATGTAGTCATACGTAGTCATATGTAAAACCTGTAGGTTTTTTTTAATGTACAATGATGATGATAGTTGTTTTAGTTGACGAATTTACGCATGTGATTATTTGTCCATATTTTTCTATGAATGTAGATTGAATTTTTTTCGTAAATAATAAAGGTTTTTTAATATAATTTAATAAATATGACTGTACTACATTGTATAATAAAAAATATACAATTTTAAGTTGAAAATGTAAAAATATGGTAATACGAAGCAAGAATATGACCATAGTCATATATAGTCATATTCGAAGAAGTAAAAAAAAATTAAAAAGAAAAACATAAATAAAAAAAAAAAAAAAAAAAAATATTAAGTGCAGTCTAAATAATGATATATGTTTGATTTATGTGTTTTCAGTACAAAAAGTGATAGGATGTCTCAAACAAAATAAATTTTAGGGATGGACTTAGTTTTATTTACAGGGTCGGTTCGGCGTATATGAAGGCCCGGGCAATAATATAATTGTTCGGTAGTTCGGGGGCAACGTCCGAATTTTTTTTCCGCATCTTAAAGTTAATGAAATAATATAAATAAATTATTTATTCACAGAAATATCATAAATAGAAGTTTGAAAATATTAATGTCTAGATAAAAAACTTTTGTTGTACTACAAATGTTAGAATAAAAAAATATTAAATTTCAAATCTATTTTTAAAATAAATTTATAAAAAAGAATAAAAGAATAAAAGAGTAAATTTTATTTTTGAAAATAATAGAAGAATATTTTTTTTAAACAATAAAACAAGTTTTACACATAAAAATATATAATATATATATTAAAAAATTAAAATTTTGGGCCCTCTATGGCATTGGGACCCTGGACGTGGGCCCTATTCGCCCCATCCCAAGGCCGGTCCTGTTTATTTATTAGCAGTTTGAAAGACTTATTGTTAAACACCCCATAAAAAAAATATAAAATTACTTAATCAAACTTATTAAAGTGAAAGAAACATCAAAGAAGTTACAACAGTTGAACTACAATTGGTCGTTATTGGACTGCGACGTGAGTCATTCCGCATCCCTACTTCTTTATACATATATATTCAAATTATATTTTACACACACTTGTATATAGGCTATAGCTATATATCTATAGTATATATTATGCCTCAGAATTTAAAAGATATAGAGAAAAATATAATTTTGTGATGATAATGGCCAAATCATAACGTCCAATATTGGGGCAGGATAGTGATATATATCATTTTTCTGTATCAATAATTCCACCATTCAGATAAGAAAATAATATATCGGTGCAACATTATCACTCTCTATATTGTGGCATGATACAAACCACAAATATGCACTTGCTACACTTTGAAATATTAATCTCATAAATCGCACCATTTTTTGCCTAATTATGTAAAAATAAGTGTTTTTAACTCAAGAGACTACTTTATGTTTGGAGTACCCATAAAACCACCACGGAAGCATATAAAAATTTGTTATTGTTCGAGTAGTGTAGTAATATGACAGTCAGGAAAAGAAAAAAATTAGTTCCTCTGTTCCATGTCTTTTTGTGTTTTTTTTTTTTTTTTTTCCAAATTATTTGTCATTTCACAGTTCCAATAAGCTGCTAATTGCAATTTTTTTTCAATTTTGCCTCTCATCATTCTTAATTAGTAAATTAAAAAATAATTAATGACAAGGGTATTTTAGTATTTACTATGTTATTATTGTTATAGTCTATGCATATTGATTGACTATCTTAATATATGCGTAATTTCCGCAAGGGATGACTTGGCGGTTTGAGAAAGTGAGTTTTGTGTCACTTGACCCATGTTCAAATTCCCTTGCCAATGGTTGCTAGCTAGGTCGAGCTTGTCACACATGGTTAGCCTAGTGTGGTTTACGTCTCTCGTATGGTTTGCAAGCTATTATACGAGAATGTAGGTTTACCCAATGCACCCAGGGGCGAGTCCAAACCCTTGGGCAAGGGTGGACTCAAGCCCCACCTCAATTTATATTTTTTTACCCTATATTATACCTATATATCTTTTTTTTTTTTTTTTTTTTTTTTTTTTTTTTTTTTTTTTTTGAGGAATTCAAGTCCTTACAAGGGAAAATAGGGGAGGGGGGACTCCAACCCCAAACCTTTTACCCTATTGGGAAGGGTAGGTACCAACTCCCCCAAAGAGGGTTGGGATTAATTAGCCCCCCCAACTTGTATTAATTAGTCCCCCCCAAATTCAAATTAATGGAAAAAAAGCCCCATTTTTTTTTAGTTAGCCCCCCCAAAATTCAAATTAATGGAAAAAGGCCCCCATTTTTTTAATTAGTCCCCTCAAAACTTCAAATATACACAAAAAAGATCTATTTCTTTTAAAATTTCCCTTTTTCTTTCCCAATCTTCTGATTTTGTCACAAAAAATCCTAAAAAAAATTTGGGGGCGCTGCCCCCCGCACACCCGAAAATATAAGTCCACCATAGAACAAATATCTGGACTCACCACTGAGTGCACCGATATTGTTTACTGCGGGTATCTTTCTTTCCCAAAAAAAAATATATATATATATATATATATATATATATATATATATATATATATATATATATATATATATATACATGGATAACCATCCAAAACAACATATAATATAGGCAGGAGGGAGGAGGGAGTAGTATATAATTGACATTTGTCATGCATGATTCAGCAACAATATAATAATGCATTTGGTAAACTCTGAAATATTATAAATCTGGTAATTGATTAGTCGTCGCAATTAACATACTTGAAACAATTCAGCATGAATTCGCCCACCTTTTTGTGCTTCCGACTCACCCTCCCCACGCACAGTAAACGCCGCAGCTGCTTTTATTTCTTATCCATATTTTCCTCATCTGCCGCTTTACTTTATGCTATATAATTAAAATATATATATAACCTAGCTACACTCCTTCCCATTATATTTATTTATTTGTGTCATTAATTTGCTACATACAGATTACATACAATAGCTCCCCGAATAACTTACTATTATTTATTCTGAAATAGGTGGAATAATTAATCTTTTTAAGCTTGCAAAAGATGGTATTATTGATTTCTCGCACAGGAAGGCATTTACAGAGATACAACAAAGATCATCATCGACTTGTTGTTGGGTTAGTTCACCCCCCCCCCCCCTCCCTCCCTAACTCCCACCCCCCACTATTGTATTTATTTACTATATATAGGTACTCATATGTTATATCGAACTGCTAAAAAATTACCCTATGTAATTTTATTGGAAAAACCTCCTAGATTTAATTTCGTGTAGTGATTAGTATCCCGGTTTAGGGGAGTGTGTGCTAAAATAAATGAATCCTAGGGGTGTTTTTTGCCAATAAAATAACATGGGGTAGTTTTTTTAGCAATTCGATACAATACATTGGTACTAACTACTATAATCCGTGTTTATCTTTGTTACGCGATCACATGCATTGTTTTCTTTGTAGTTCAATTTATTTATAGGGTTCTTTGCTTTTTCTTCAAAATTTACAAGTGGAATTATCCACTATTGGTGCAGATGCATTCCTTATAGATACAAGAATCACGGAAAGAACATATCAAACGTTGACGAGTTGGAAGTTCTTGTCATAAGTTCGAAAAACAGTCGGGCAATGATGTTTCCTAAGGTGATTGTATACCCTTTTCTTTAAGGTTTCTTTAAGATTTTACAGTTGGATTGAAAGACTTGAATTTTGTGAGAATAATTATAGAACTACTTCAAACAGACTCATGAGTACAAAGTTAACTTCAATTGCAGCTTAAAAAAATATTTCAAAATAATGTATAAATGTAACTTCAAATTATTGCATATAAATAGACGCAGGGTGCATTTTGCCATGAGAGATAAAATTGGAGGGTGAACATTGCCATATTTTAAATTTTAGGGTCAAAGTGCTAATTAGATAATTGTTTGGGTGCAAACTGCAATTAAAAAGTTTCAAAGAGCTCACGCATATCACAAGTTACGAATGATAAAAACAGGGAGGTTGGGAGCTTGACGAATCAGCTGAAGGAGGTGCTTCTCGAGAGTCCCTCGAAGAAGCCGGTGTTGTTGGCAATGTCGAGGTAATTAACTTGCTTCATTATTTGTTAGAAGAATAATTTATTTCATTACGAAAAATGTTGTTATTTGTAAAAAACCAATTTATTAAATTACGAAATTAATAATGTGGTGTGCAGAGTGAATTAGGAAGATGGGTATTCAAGAGCAAGAGCCAAGAACTATACCATGAAGGCCTCATGTTTCCTTTGCTTGTCACACAACAACTCGACTTCTGGCCCGAAAAATCCCAACGTACAAGAGAATGGGTACGCGTGCTTTCTGCACGAATATTCTCAAGTTTGTACCCGTTTTACCCCATTCAAGCTCCAAATTTTGAAACAAGATCATGATCATAAAATGTGTCTATTGAATTGTAAATATCAGATTGTGGTGCATCAAAAACTGCATATTTGCACAAAAACGAGTACAGAATACAGAACATTCCACATAATCTAAAATATTATGTTGAATTTGACACCATAAGGGTGGACGTGAAAGAAAATTACCTAAACATGATGAGTTTTTTTCGTAATTTGATCTTCCATCAGATGAGTAGAAGAGTGATAATAGTGTACCCTTTAATTAATTGCTAATTGAGTGATAGTAGTGTACCCTTTACTTTATTGCTAATTGATATTAAAATCATTAGTAACTAATCATCATTTTTTTCTCCCCAATATAAATGTGCAGATGACAGTGGCTAAAGCAAGAGAGCATTGCCAGCAGTGGTGGATGAGAGAAGCCTTAGACATATTAGTTGATAGAGTGACATCATCAGGGCTTCTTCACCAGAAGCAAGAATAATAATATAAACCATGTATGTAGAAATAAATGTACCATAAACTCAATTTTATTTCTTCATAGCTACTACAATAGAAGTTATCATATACATTATATAAAATAAGCTGTGCAATATGTTTCGGCAGATTAATAAGAATCGATATGATAAAGATACAACGGCAAATTTTAATCATATATGCATTTTTTAACAAATCGTATTTCGATGCGTTGTTTTTCTTATAGAGGGGTGGGGGGGATAACGGTATGATTCTAAACTCTGTAGTAGTTGGTCAAGGTTTTACCATCCAACGCCTTTGAGAAGAATCTAGTCATGTAGTCTTTGAATGTAAATTGGCGGTAATGCGGTGGTTTGTCGGGGGAAATTAGACCTTGTAGAGGTCCAAACAAGTCTTCCCTACGACCCGGATTGAAGAAAACGGCCACGGATACTCGCGGATCCTTTGAGGAGTTGGCCACCACTTTATGCTCCACGCTTTTGTACTCGTCATTCGACAGTATCTACGACAAAATTTTGTAACCGAGTTATAACTTTAGGCAACAGCTAACCGTAACTAATATGCAAATACACATAAAACAAAAGATTGGGAGTTTTATGTTTTAACTCATGAAACACAAAAAAATGAACAAGCAAAAAAAATAAGACTTCTAACTCAAATCAATCCCTTGTTTTTGCTTTTTCTAATGAAACGAAGAGTTCAAGGTTGAATTAGATTTCGGTTATGACGTTAGATTACATAAGGTTAGAACCCCAATCAAAATACGATAAGTTTCCCCCTATAAAAAAAGGATTATTCGAGCATTGAACAAAATTTTGCAAATATTGCTCTTTGGGCGCAGCGGTCATCAAAATG